GTCCCTGCTCCATCTGGCCCTGTCCATTCTGTGCCAGCTCCCTCTGCTCCCTGCACCGCAGGCTCTGGGCTGGGTGCAGGCTGGTGAGGGTCAGTCTTGCCACCACACTTCCTCATCCAATCCAGGGCAGACCCCATGGTTGCTTGTTTCCATCTGCAGACATTTGTGCGGTCCCTTGTGCAAGGCCCCGTATTGTTGCCAGAGGCATCTTCCCACTCCCCGTGCCTCCCAACCTGCATGGCTGCTGGAGGACATCTTTGGGATTGATGTGGGGAGGGGGGAATATGCACCCCGTGCACTGGATGAGGGGCTGATGGTGCCCAAGCAGCAGCACCTCCACTCATGTATAGCAGAGGTGGTCTGGGGTGAGGTTATTGCTCTGCTCACACCTCTGAATGAGATGGTGCCTGTTCTTTTGCTGTCAAAATAAATGGTTTCTAAGATGTATTGTCATCTTTGCTTTAAAGCAAATTGCCAGAGGTTGAAAACAGAAGGGGTCGTAGCCACATGCAGGCCCTCTCCAGTAGGCACAGGGCTGCCTCCACCCCTGGGGGTAGTGGCTGCATCAGCTACAGCCAGGGTCATGTGCCTGTCCTGCAAAGCCCCGGCCCTCTTCAGCAATGCTTTCCTCTTGCATCCTGTGCTCCCTTGCCTTCACCATGAATCCCACCACAGCACAGCTGCCTTGCAAAAAAAAGAATCCAAAACCTGAGACCCAACACAAAACGCAATCCTCATCTGAGGTAAAGCTGACCCATCACCATGATTGTAAGCCTCCCACTGTTTAGATCAACTACAGCTTTATGGCAGGTTGGGGAGGGTGCTAACTCACAAACCCAGCTAAATTTAGCTCATCCCCTCAGGCTCCTTCTATGAGCAGTGGCAAGTGAGTGAGGATGGCATAGCTCAACCAGCATCCTCCTCATCCTGGGGAAAGCAAATCTCCATGCTGCCAGCACACACCCACGACAACACAAACTCCAGCTGCTAACATAAGCAGATTTATTTTTCAAGAGTGGGGTTTCTGTGGCCTGCTGGGGTGACATCTCCCCTCACTGCTGCTAACGGGAGTCAATTCTCTCCCCCATGCAGCGCTTTCCACGAGGAAAGGCTCTCCATGCTGCAGCACTGGACTGGACAAAAAGCCAGTGCAGCAGTGGCGAGAACAGACCTGCAGGGCTGAAGCAGTAAACCTGTAGGAACAAATGGCTCTGGCTGCATCTTAGAGCAGTGCTTGTGCCCTGCCGTGGCCGGGGAGCATGGCTGCTCCCAGCACCGCACACTCCTTGCTGCCTGCCACACATGGCTGCCTGCTTGCCTGGGAGGAGAAAGATGCCAGCCACTGGGGCCATCTGGTGTGCTGCACCCCAACATAAGCACCTGCAAAGTCACTAAACGTTTTCATGCTGTACAAATGTCCTGTTCCAGCTAACCTCAGGAGCTTGCTCTTGTGTCAGGGGGTCAGGACTGAAGAGCCTGAACCATGCCTGGCATTTCCCCTCCCCTCCCCACCGCGGCCCCGCACTGCAAACAGATGACAAGCCCCGCTTTGTCCAGGGCCCCATGCTTTATCATCCCAGCCGAGCTCCTGCAGCGAAGGCTGGCAGCACTGTTGGGAAAACACTGATGGTGCAGGGCTTGACACAGGAGTCGGGAACTACAAAAGGTTTGTGGGGGTAGCTCCGGAGGTATAGGTTTCTAATGCAGATACCAGTGTTGATCTAATTTATTACTGTGGGAACAGGCTAGCGAGCCAATTCACATTCATTACTCAGGAGGACTTCAATCACTCTCTGCTGTAGCTTGATGAAAAACAAACTGTATTCATTTTTTATGATGCAGGACAAAATATCTGGCAAACTGCAGTGTGCACAGTAGTCTGACTTTCCAAATTCCTGCT